TTGCATCTTACATATACCGCTCTCTTTCACAATCGGTACATTAATTCATACTTGTCAAATATATAAACAAATAAATAAATAAGTAACTGAAAAAACAATAACGGGTTGATAATTAAATAAGCAAAGAAATGAATTAATAAAGGAGCTTTACAATCATTCGGCCTTTTGAAAATTTTCTAGAATATTGTAGTGTAGTGTGGCAGGCCATTAACTTTTGAATACACGGGTATATGAACAAAAGCGAATAACGAAATTCAATATACTTCAATGATGCGGAATTCACCCCCCCCCCCCCATCAAAAAGCGAGAAAGTGTCGGGTGCAGACCACATACCATAACTGACAATGGCCGCGAAAAAGCAGCGTTCTGATTGCCATGTTTTCGAGGCCGTCGTCAGTTATGGTATGTGGTCCGCACCCGACACTTTCTCGCTTTTTGAATGGGAGGGTACCTACAATTTCGAAGGCAATTTAATTTTCTGAGATCTACAATATATTTAAAGCGCTATTGTTTCGTTTTTTTTTCTTGAGCAAATAGTGAAGGTGTTTTTGAGTATGTTTTTCACTGAACATAAGCACTCCATGATCGTTTTCCTCTCGAAGCAATTCACCAGCTTTCGCCTCCCGACTCCCAAGAGTTCCGCATATCTTCTCCATCCCGCTACATCCAAATGTTTCTATGGGAATTCCATCACTTCCTGTTCCATTCCTTCACCTGACTGAGTCATTGCGTTGCGTACGACGGTGTTATGCCGTAGCAGAAGTGTAACCGCCTTCTGGTGTTATCGCTCTGAAGGAATCGTTGATGCCAACGACTGTGAAGAACCCGTTCACATTTGTGGACGTGGTGGCGTCTGCTAGTGCGGGTCGCGCTGGTTGAGGCCAAACGGACGCGCTTTCTTCTCCAATCCCTCTTTCTTTCTCCTTTCTTCTCTCTCTTTTCTTTCTTTCTCTGGGTTCCTAATATATGAATGTGGTTCTCAGTTCCATATTCCATCAGGATACTTTAATTTTTGGGGTTTCTTTTAGAGACAACTATAGGCCGGGAATTTTTTCAGTAATGAAAGGTCATATTTTACCTATTCATGGGTGAGCATCAAACCAGTCTCACAGTATGTTTAGTGCAGTGTTTGATCTGGCTTATTGAGGCTTTTTCTTCGTAATCCTTATCTCACTGCCCATGAGCTTCTATGAGTTACGCTCTGCTGAGGTTTCTGCCCTTCATGCGCCTGAAAAAGCCCTCCTCATATTTTTTCTATGCTTCAAACTATTGAGTTACTTTTGCATTTATTTTCAGAACGTTAATTTATCAGTTTTTCACACGTTCCACAGGTCATCATTTTGGTCTGGTAGACATTCAACCGTTATCGCCATTCAGAGGTTGCAACCTCAAGCATGGCGCATCCCGAAGAAATTAGTAAGCCACTGCCAGTTTTTGTTTTGTCCGCAAGGGATCTGATTCTGTAGAAGAAAAGGGGGGTGATGAGCTGGAGCTTAATGGGTTGGAAATCGGAAAATTGTGAGGTAACGTCAGACTGAAAGTTGTTGTATTGGCCAAGTATCCTTTCAATTTACTCTGCAATTCCTAACCAACTTCTTGTACATGGCATATTATTTCTTGGTAGCTAAAGAAGGAGCGTGTGGCGTATTTCTTTCAACTAATCGTTGTGAATGTATAGACGTGTTCTTCACCACTATAATCCATGTGTTTGCGCCGTCGTCTAGGCTCCAGCCGGCTCCAGCAATTGCGCTTGCTGGCGGCGTGTGTGTTGTTTTTCTATTCACACGCATTTAGAGACGCTTAGCTATGAATTTCTCGTCCAACAGTTATCGATCGATTATCGATTATTTATTTTCTGTCGGTTCCCGCATCCACGATACTTTTTAATAACAATCTCCAATTTGTTCTCAAAGATCGAAGGTTACCCTCCAACCAGGACATTTACTGAAGTGCCCTTGGCGTAAACTGAGGGTCGATTTTCCACCCTAATTGGCTAATGGAAAATTACCACAGCCATCAATAGGTTAGGTCTTCCGGGATTTTTTTTTTCTTGTCGTTAAAAGTACGATTTCTGCGCAGAACAAAAAGGGGAACTGGTATGACCCCAAACCTCCATTCGATACGCAGATCAATTACCGAGCTCCTCTCTGAAAACTGCTAATTTTCTGTCTACGCTAACTGTTTGGACTTTCTCCTTCCACCTGCGGATATTTCAATGTGGAGGAGAAAATCGATTATCGATTTCCGCGAGTGATAATCTGAGTGCTTCTAGAGGGTCTGATAAATCGCCAGCTTCATGGCTCATTGCACGTTTCATTGCGTACATAGTACGGTCCCACTGTTGAGTATGCATGGACGCATTTTTGCGGACATACGCAATAATGCGCACGAAGTTATTTTCCGAATTGTGGTCAATGATGCATTCATAATGTTCACATCTCTTCCAAAGTGTAACTCAAAAGTTCAATGATTGAAGGGTGTGCAGAAAGTGGAGGGCACAGCTCGCGTATCCGGACCCCCACATAGGGAGGAGAACTTCCTGCCCCTTTAAACACTTTAGGCTGGTCCTCTGACCCTCACTAATGCGATCCAATCTTCTGAGATGGAATAGGAATGCTTCCACAATTATGATTGTGAATCAAAAGCATGGCGTATCCCGGAACGATCGCTCAACGCCGACTACTTCGTCATCCTTATTTCCTATACCTCCTTTTATAATTTCTACCTTTATTCTCGTAACTGATCTGTGCTAGCGCTTCCTAAGGAATTTCGTAACTTGAAGATGCCGAATCGCAGGTAAATATTCTGTGCTCAAGTAAAACATGAACGCTGGTTAATGCTGTTCAGATTTCGGATCAGCCAGCAGGGCCATCCACTACATTAGAGGATGCTATTTTATAACAGAAGATGTATATGTAGGTCACGCATCAAAGGCAGTGGGTGCTATATGCCAATTAAGAGAAGAAGAAATGCTTGCTGTAAAAAGAAGCCAGGTGCATCAGCAGATGAGGCGCGATCGCTTCGTGGCAAAATATCAAGGCCACACAAACTTTCGACGCTTTCTTCTACCTTCCCTCCGCCTTTTCCCTTCAATTCAAAGGCGAAATGGGGGCCTCATTCAACAAGAACTTGAGCGTTTCTCACTGTTTAAGTTGAATGCGTTGTTTCTCACAAAGGAGTGTGAGCCACATACAATGCTTCCCTACATATATTTAGGCAAGAAATACTTATAGTTGATCAATACATAACGTTTTGGTTTCTGAATCGATTCATTTTGTTAAATGTTGTTCTTTCAGGCAGTTCACGATGGGAATCCTATATGCACAAGTAATCGAATTACTACTTAAAATAAATAATATAATTATATAATAATAAATAAATAAATAAATAAATAAATAAATAAATACTTATTTACTGTAGCGCTCAAAAGTCTTCGGTGGAATACTTTTTCGGCCGTAACTTTTTTCCTGCAGTATCAAATCAGTCCAGATTTTTATATGTTTTGGAAACAAGCCTCTTTCACTTAATAGGGATATTACAGCTGAAGAGGAAGAATAAGAACGAAATAACTATTTCATCAGAAATTCCCGAGTATGGCCAAATTCCATGTAAAGTAAAACTGTTGTAAAAAGCTGTCTTTTTGATATAAAACATTGAGCAGCTTCAATTCTTTGTTGATTACCTTCCGTTGCTGAAACCTTGACAGGCCCATGTATGAAATCAGTCATTGAATTCACTGTCCGTTGAGTAAACCACCTCAATTTCCCTACAAATCTAGCTAGTTTCTCGTCCATATTTCTAGCTCTTTTTGTGACAAAGGTTTCTCTACCCCTTTATAGTTTTTTCTATAGTTTTCACAGTTGAAAAAGTATTCCACCGAAGACTTTTGAGCGCTACTGTATATCAACTTGTTGTCACCTAAGTATAGTGCTCACTCCTTTGAGACACAGCATACGGTTTTGATTTTTATTTCATCAAAGAATACCTAATGGACCTCGCAGCTCCGTGGACAGGTTGTTAACGCGCGGCTACGAAAACCGGTTCGGACATCTGAGATACGATTAATCAAACCTAAGTGATGATTAATTTGAACAGAAAATCAAAGTCACTTCTAGGAAAATGGGAACCAGTTGATGGTAACACTTCCTTGTGCAGATTGTCACGTCGTAACATTTCTGAACTCCAATTTATCTACATGGGACTTAATCTAAAGGAAGAGCAAGCCTTCGTGAAAGCTTCACAAGATATTGGGTTACGAACAAAAGTTACACCCCCAAGCAGGGTGAATATTGGTCGAGGAATTCCTTGACCATGGCTCTCCACTATGCAAGAGTAGTGTCGAGAGAGAACGCGCGCGCGGAGAGCGCAGACGGCTCGCGGGTGCCAGAGGGAGAGTCCTCGATACGCCGTTGCCATTTCCACGGGCGATTTTCACCCTGCCCCCAGCCGGGGCTCGAACCCGTACCTCTCGCTTACCGAGCAAGTGCGCTACAGTGCCAGTCTTTTGTGTACAGGTTTTGTTTATTATTGTATAAAGATAACGATCACATTAAGTAGGGAAGGTCAAGCCATTTACAATCACGAACTTCATTGAAAACAAAAATCTTAATAAAGTCTTATTCTGCATGGTCTTCAACCAAGTCTTAAAGGAACTGTAGGGCAGAAAACGACACCACTGAGGATTGTGATTCAATTGTTGGACATAACATACATACATAATTGACATTTCTCAAGATCTTGCTATTTGGCTTAGCAATTGAATGAGAAATTCTTACATATTAGCGCAGTCACCAGGCACGCGGTCTCTAAAACAGGTAAAGCTTCATCAAATCGGTGCAGCACGGCTCTGACTGAAAATGGATAAGGCTTTCCCTCCGGATGTTTATTTACCTGGATGCCATAATTTTCAACCAGAAATGCTAAAGAAGTCGACGTTCAAGCATATCACTGTTGCGATTAGTAGTTGAATAACAAAGTTGTGTCCAGAAGTGCAAAACTTCCGACCACGGCAGGATTCGAACCTGCAATCTTCTGCTCCGTAGGCAGACGCGTTATCCATTGCGCCACGCGGCCACGTTGCAATGGGCTTGGCTCCTTCATGTTTTCTCAAATCCTTTGTTTACTCTTACACCCCGCATTGCGCTTATAATCAGTCACTCGACTCGCTGAGCTCAACATAATACATAAATCTTGATGATGAAGTTGTTGTTTTCGTATTTACCCAAGATATTGAGGGTAACGCCCCGACCGCTTTGCTCCATTGAACATTATGGAACCGGAAATGTTAGCGCCACTTTGCCCTCACCCGAAGTTTTGAATGGCGAATCCGGCCGTCATGGACTTTCGGCTGAAAATGACTTCGATCGATTTTTCTTTTCAGCGCACATACTTGAGTTTTTCTACTTCGTCATTTACGCTGCTTATGAGTTCATGTATGTTCGATCTGAGGAAAAGTTTTTCCTCGTACTCTAATCTTCAAAGGCTGCAACCACATTTTTTTGGCTTCCGGGGCATGCTCTCCCTTTGTTCCCCGCTGAAGGACGTACAGATAAATAAATAAACAAATAAAGTAAAACAAATAAATAAATAAATTCTTCTTGGATGATCGGCTTTTCAGTATAGTCTTCCATAGCTATTCCTTCCCTTCTCCCTGAGAGGGGGAGGAGAGGGGGGGTGTACTAAGAAACCCCTTGATATAGCTAATCAGCTAACCACCCTGAGCACTCAAAAGAAAGCCGTTTCCAGTCTAAAGTACTGCTATGTTGTGGCTTTTAACTATTCTTGTGCTGCCCACCTTCAATTATGACATTTTCAATATTATTCATTTTTATTGTCCTTGACTTTGAGAGAAAAGCTGTTGTTGAACACAATAAATATCACCGCTGATCAGTTGATCATCCAACTGAGAAAGTAAAGAAAGTGGTTGTAACGGTCAGATGACAGAATTCTTCATAGACGTCGATCCGTGCTAACCGGCAAGCCCAAACCCCGCCATGGTAGCCATCAGTCACCACCTTTTCTTCATGTTGCCATTCGAGCTGGTGCGGGGATCCAGAACCCAAAGTCTTCATTAGGCCGTTGTCAGGCTATGTGAATAGCGAGAATCGTTAGCGTCCGCGGTCACGTCGCATACAGGTAATAGCCCGATTGCCTGTACGCGACGAGACCGCGGACGCCGATGAATCGCGCGGTTCGCAAACTCTGACATCGGCCTCATCGGCTTATCAACCCGGGACACCCGCTCTCGATGGCTAGACGTCAACTGCTTTCTCTTGAGCATCCGCCCAACATACCCCAAGTGTAGCCCTCATTCCACGGTGCTTTTCAACATTGTCGTTACTCTGGCGCTTTTTCTGGGTGGAAAGAAACTGCCAAACTGTATTCGTCTAATGGAAGGCAGAATGGTATCCTGTGGTTAATAGTTGCACACTAACTAGTTCTGCTTCGTTCCTCTTAGGTAGCAGTCCTAAATCCCTTATTTAGCATTATTCTACTCTTTTAGCTTTTCTTCGGACAAAAGAGCGAGTTTCGGGTGCAACGGGCCCCAACTAGGGGATGGGTCCCCAAAACTCTGGACTGCGAAACTGTGGACTCTTCCCTTATTCTGAACCACGAGAGTTGTGTCATCGACCAGAGTAGAGACGTAGTTTTGGGAACCTATTCCCGAGTGGGGCCTTGCTGCAGCCGATCACGGGTCCTATGCCATTTGAACCCATCTCCATCGGCACGGTGAATAGCGATCTAGAAATTGCTCGACCATGGCTCTCTGCTGTGCGAGAGTAGTGCCGCAAGTGAATGTACGCGTGGAGAGCACAGCCACCTCGCGGGCGATGAGAGCGAAAATCCGCATGGGAGAGCGTGACTGGCTGAACAGGAGAAAATCTCCCACAAGCCGTTTCTTCCTCGACCGATTTTCACCCTACCCATCGGCTGGTTCTATCCCTGATTATTTTATTGTCTTTTATCAAACACAGGGAGGCGGAGGTCAAGTAGTAGCCCACACTACAGGAACCATTATGACCAGATCTCAAATCAGCCCTATTCATCGTAGCCGAGCCATCTATCCCGCCGATAAGCTTTCAGACTTGCATAAGAAAGCACTGATTTAATTTGCTCAGAAGTGCAAGCACAGGATCCTGAGCGAAAGTGGGGTACGTGGCGCATTCCAAAGTGATTCATCTTTCCGCTTTTGATTGCTAAGTGACGTTTTCGGCCATAGTTTGCGATGCGAAAGTTGTCGCAAGAATGCCGGGTTAAGGGCAAGATGGTGTTGTGGGTTCGATTCGCGCCTGTGGTGGAGGCTCTTTCAAACGATCAAGCATTCCTGTGTTAATTTTCTTTTTCTCACATACATATACATAAAAGCTGGTTTCCAATGGTCACACGACAGAACATACTTTTTCTTTTCATCCGTCCCCGCACTAGACATAACCCCGTTTCTATGGCAATCATCCATCACCTTCTTCACTGTTAGCTTTCGTGTGGGCGAAAAAGGGAAACCCGTTACCATCGACCACCTTATGCAGTTTTATCATCCGATTGTAAAAGCCAGAAAGCAAGTTTTCAATTGCCAGAAGCGGCAGAACATTGCTGCCTCTCTGGTGGTCTTTAACACTTTCATGCCTATACACCTGAACCTTGCCTAAATAATGTGTTTGCACATTTACTGTATGGGCATAGAACCGGTCTATCGCATTCTCTACTCATGATGGTCTTAACTTCTTGCTTGATCGAATTCTTTTCCTTAATCGGTTCCACTTCCACTCCGTTTAGTATCTTATCATTCTTCTATGTGCCTTATATGGCTCACGGTTAAAATGTCGGCTACAAATTTGGTTGGTTCTACTATGTCCTTCATCTTTCCAGATTTGGTCACTCAAGATCATTTACGATATAAGACCCTTTACTTACTCAACACGCAAAAAAGCACCAATTTGTCTCGCGGCTGGTGCTGCAGGTCATTGAATAACCAAATGCGCTTTCAAATGTGTTGTTACGATGCAGTGTAGAACCCAATGCATGGCGTACTCTGACGGGCTACTTAGTATATACATCGAAATGGAATGCGTTACCAGTAAAGGTTCCTCACTGCCTAAACCACTTCATTTTTCTCCACTTTTACTATTTGTACGTTTTCGACATTTTCTAGCCTTCCCTCTTTTTCGATTTATTGATTTATGTATTTTGATTTTCCTATTGAAATCTGATTTTACCATCTGCCATATCTCATTAAATACTTTACTAATAAAAGTGATTATAAGCATTGAATCAAACTTGTCTTACTGAGATTGATTGATTGACTTTGATTAAATTAGCTCATCTAATTTGTTGAAAATAATTGTAATTTAATTTGTTGTGGTTGCTGTTGTTAAAAGTTGTTGGTTTTGTTGTTGTTGTTGCTGTTGCTGCTGCTGCCACTGCTGTAGGTCAGAAGGCGTTAGTTTCAGTAAACACTGACGAGTGGAGGTGGCGTTGTGGCAAGGCGTTTCGCTTGCACGCGCGTTGTCCTCAAATTTCGGATCGTTTCCTGCCCCAACCAACCGAGACTTTTATCGTTCCGAGGCTGGTTAAGAGGTACCAACCTTGCCCGAGCTGGTATAAACCCTGACCACACAAATCGGATGGTCTCAGTTAAGTATCGTATAGGCCATACCGCCACTATCATTGTGAATGGAAGTGGAGTGCGTGGCGCTCCCCCACCAAGGTGTTGAATAACGCCAATGTTTTTATAAACTTCGATTTTCTGATTCCAAATCGCTTTCAACATCTTATTGTCATTTGGTGTTCGTAATTAATGTTCATTATATCATACATTCATATCGTTTTCTCGTAATTCACTGTAAATTTCAGTAGAAGTAGCCTACAGTATACCTACAGTATCCTACTTTCAGTATTTCATCTATGAATCACGTATGACGCTAACAACTTTACTATTATGCGATACGCATCGTTTCTACTACTCCATATAGGACATCTCTGCCATAATGCGATTGCAGACAACGGTAACTATTACTATAAATTTATGAATATCATTGTTCTATTACTATTGTAGTACCATTTCTAATTTTTATTTTCGAATTGCGCTAATATTTTGAAATATCCATCAGTAGCTGGAAAAGGCGAAGGTAATTTGTACGTACTACAGTAACCGGATAACAGTGAATACCTGTGAAAGCTGTCGAAATCAGTTAAATGTAGTGAACACGATGGAGGGCGGTGCGGTTTCGATGACGTCATTGGACGTCAACGATGATGTCATTGGTCGAGCTGAACCCTGACAGTGGTGGTTGACGGTGTGGTTGGGATCGCCACTTAGAGCGTGCACCGTGCTTTGTGTAGTTCGGCATCTTTTGATTCTTCTCTTATAGAGACTGGTGACTTATGTATCACTAATTCAGTGAATTCCTAGTGAATATGTTGTTCAAAAAATGAACGCCATTTTCGGAAAGTGAGAAACTATCGCGCGAATTAAACACAACGATTCTCGTTCGGTCGCAATGTGGTTCACATGTGCGTCACGCGGTCTCCAATTAACTAATTGGTGTTAGACAGGGATTCAACCCAAGGCACCAAAATGTTCTTGCAGCCACAAGAACTTCTTATCACATGGTTTATCCAGCCCATACATAGTAGGGATAGTTTGGGCGTGTACAGGATCTCTCAGACAATGAAACCGGCTACCAGTTGTTGCAGATAGTTGCAGATCTGGTTCTGTGCTGTGGTGCTTTGTTGTCCGCCACATCCGATGTGTCTTGCGGATGACCACTTTTTCACCAACGGCTAGGAAACCAGCTGTAGTAGCGACTAACTGCAAGAAACTTCGGCCTATAGTCACATAGTCTCAGACGACCACTCCCAGTGGTCTCATTATATGGATCCAAGCTAGGCCTACTATAGGGGAGAGATAATGCATAGGTGAAGCGAGCGATGACATAGTAAGGGACTCAAAGAGTGAATACTAGAAAAATACTTACAATATGGACCTGAACTTCAATTCCATCAATCTCTAATGTAATCTACGATCAGCTGCGGTCATTGCATTCGAATATTTATTTATTTATTTATTTATTTAT